CGAAAGTTATGCGAATTATTATCATTTTTAAAGTATGTTTTTTCCCGCGGTTTTATAAATCATTATTACAGTTGAGGGTTGGAAGCTTTGGTGTTACACAGCAAAATAAAAACACTAAATCACCACAATACACCAACACTTTTACTTTTACACTAGACGCTCGTTTCGCTAACCATGTTAGCATCATCAGCAGATGATTATAAACTAAAGTACAATCTACAAGTTAAGCGTTTATATACTCGCTCAGTGGGCATCGAGTGGGCGTGGCAAAATCTAGCCAACCGAGTCAGAGCCCACTGAGCGTAACAGTAAGATTTCCGCCACTAATTGGACCTTTGGACCTTGGACCAAGAAATTGGACCTTTGTCTCTGTTCATACTATCTTTACATTTATTAATTCTGACGCTTTCATATGCTTCTAATTGCCTGTAATTTGAGACTTGTTTAATTAATTTTAAATTATTAAGATCTATACAATGTTCTTTATCAACAATATGTTCGGCAACGCAAGATTTATCCGGTCTACCATATCTTATCTGAGCGAAATGTTCTTTAAACCTAGTTAATATTGATCTTCTGGTTTGCCCAACATATTTCTGATTACAATCTTTACAAGAAATTTCATAAATTCCAGTGGAGGTGTTTTACTAGATACTAGATTACTTAGTTTCCCACTTTCCAACGAAAGATATGAAATAGAAAGAGATTACATTAGGAATGTAGCTGAGTGTAATGGATATTCTCCTTCACTAGTTGATAAATTAATTAGAAAACGTAGGTATAGGTTAATGATTTCTGAAAATTCAACTTTTCAAATGTGATACGTCTAAATATTTTTCGATACCGTTTGATAGAGAGTGATCCTGTGGTCTAAAAGGAATTTTTAAGAATGTCAATTATAAACTTGTGTATAGTGCTAATAATAAATTACAACAATTATTAGGTAATCCAAAGGATAAAACACCTCCACTAGAAAGAGTGTATGGTATTAGAATTATGAAGAGTGTATGGTATTATCGGGTATTTATGAAATTTCTTGTAAAGATTGTAATCAGAAATATGTTGAGCAAACTAGAAGATCAATACTAACTAGATTTAAAGAACATTTAGCTCAGATAAGATATGGTAGACCGGATAAATCTTGCGTTGCCGAACATATTGTTGATAAAGAACATTGTATAGATCTTAATAATTTAAAATTAATTAAACAAGTCTCAAATTACAGGCAATTAGATGCATATGAAAGCATCAGAATTAATAAATGTAAAGATAGTATGAACAGAGACAAAGGTCCAATTCCTTCAAGTTCATTGTTCCTACTACTTACTACTCTAGTGGCGGAAATCTTACTGTTACGCTCAGTGGGCTCTGACTCGGTTGGCTAGATTTTGCCACGCCCACTCGGTGCCCACTGAGCGAGTATATAAACGCTCAACTTGTAGATTGTACTTTAGTTTATAATCATCTGCTGATGATTTAAAACTACAGACCAATATTTTTTTTAGTTTGGTTAGCCAAACGCGCGTCCAGTGTAAAAGTAAAAGTGTTTTGGTGTATTGTGGTGATTTAAATCAATATTGTTTTATTTTAAAATTTTGCGACTCCAAATTGTATCACAATATGGATAATTTCAGTATGCTAGATATACCGGGTGCAACTCATGTCAAAAGTGCGTAAATGTCAAAAGTTGGCATATGATAATATAACATATTATGTCATTCTATTCAGAGTGTCATTTTCCTTCGATTAAAGTAAAAAATTACCGGGGTGTCAATTAAAAATCAAAAGTTGTAATCATTTTCGGTAAACAGGATGTGGCCAAAAAGAATTGAATACGTCAATCAATCCTAATGTATGTCGTATACTAACACACCAAATGTCGGTTTTTTATCTGAAAAAATTATCTAAAAATAGTTATAGGGGTGAGCTAGTTTCGAGGCACCCCCGGTGTAGTAACCGTCTGGAAATGTCGTTCTACTATCGTTTCATGGAAAGTATGTAAAATCTATTGACATACACTGCTCATTCACGCCTGTTCCAGACCAGATGAGATCCAGTGGCGCATCCAGAGATTCAGTCGAGATTGAGTAGTGGCAATATTTAAATAAAGAAATAGATTTAAGTTAAATGGTATTGTGACATTGGTATGGAAAAAATAAACTTAGATTGTTCTGGATTTCTATTTTGATTGACTTTATTAATTTATTTTATGACAATTTTATTTTATAGCAGATTTTCTTATTTATAAATTTCTTCCTGAGAGGGGTAATTACCCTCATTATCCCTCCCATATATGCGGCTCTGATGAGATCAGATACACGCCAAGTCGGTAGGCCATTGACAGCCTCGGCCGAGGACCAGGGTTTCGGTTCCGCGTAAACAATGCATATTTATTTTTTTCCCCTGCTCTCCCACTTGAATGCGGTTTTCTATTTCACAGTTTTTGTAGACAAACTTTGGTATGTATTATCATATGCTAACCTTATAGGATTAATGCTTGTATGATGTAGATAAACCATTATTTTTATTCGAATACATCAAGTGACCATAAAGTCCATCCAACGAGAGAATTCATGACAGTGACAGTGTTGTTTATCAACCTCTATACTTATTTATTTCTAAGTGGTATTTATATTTCGAAAACAAGAATCACAAAGCTTTATTAAATACTCGAAACCTGCCATCCGTCTTTATATCCGAAGAATTTCCTCCATTTCCGAACAATTTCAAAATACATAACCTACAATCGCGATATCTCGGTCAAAATGCTCCCCTCGTTCGCATTCGTGACATCGCCGATCTCTGTACAAATATGCTTATTAAATTCTTGGGCTGGCGTCTGAGGTGAGGGTGCGTAGGGCCAGGACCGATCCTGTCCTTCGACCCTGTCTGTCGCTAGATTAAAATGCCGGAATTATTCCTCGGTCTCGGATGCGTTCAGAGCGTTCAGTA